GCGATCTGGCAACATTGAAACAAGTTTCGAGAAGGACCATGTGTATCGACAGAAGGCGAGAAGAGAAAATTTACATACTTAAGTACTAATAGTTCACGAAAATAATAATTTTTGTGAACTATTATTACTTAAGTATGTAAAAATTTATTACATTTCCTGTTGTACGAGGGTTTTACCCAATTCTCGAACCATGTTAGAGTAAATCCGTGCTTTAAAAGTACCATGTTATACGGGGGATGGTACCAATTCTCAAACAGTGTTAGAGTGAATTCGTGCTATAGAAGTGCCGTGTTATACGGGGGTTACCTGTATGCCGAAAATGCTGCTTTCGATCTTCCGTATTAGATGGGACACAAAAAATAAACAATTGCACAAAATCAAACAAAATTTTTCACAAATAAGCCTTAAAATGCTAGCTGTCAAAATATATAATGATAATACGGTTTAGAATAAAAATGGTGGGAAAAATATGACTAATCTGTCTAGTGGTAAAAAAAAATGAAATTACTTTCTGAGCAACCCAATAAATATAGTTTAATTTCCTATGAATAATCCATGGGTTATCTCTGTCATATTGAAAGGGGGTGTGGGACATGTGCCATTGCAGATTATCTGTCAGTTTTAAACTGTAATTACTACCTCATTTAACAGCTTTTCCTTTGTTTAAACTTACTAAGAGCATTTTTAAAAATAAAAATTTTTTACATGCTATATGTATTCCTCTTTATTATGAACAAACAATTATTTATTGTTACATTGTCACAATGCCAGGCTGCAATTTTTAATCATTTTTTAAATTTATTTAATCTTAAATATGAGAGATATATGACAGACATAAAATAACTTAATCAACAATCAACTAAATGTAGCCAAAAGTTTTTTTTTAAATTTGCAACTATCAAATTACCAACTGAAAATATTATGTCTATATATTTTAATTTAAAAAGTTATTAACTTATCATCTTAAAATAAGAATTAGATACAACAGATACTAAGTGGGTACAAAATGGATCCCTGACATTTAAAAGCACTTTGAAAGAGTATATTTGTAAAAAACAAATGTTTCTTTGTATCTATGTCTTGAGAAGACTTTAAAAAAAAAAATACACGAGCTGTCAAAGTTTTACATTTAGAGCATCAATAGATAATCATAAATATGTGCTGTCTGAATACAATTTGTACTCACTTAGTAAATAAAAGCTTAATAGAACATTTGACTACATTCTGGGTATTTTTATTATTTAGAAACATTCATATAAATTTTTTGCTTTTTATTTTGTTAATTTTGTCTCTATGTATGGATTGAATGATTATGCTTATTTCTTGGGCACAAGTGTAAATGATCCATACTTCTACATGATACTCTAAGAGTTCTTCAATAATAAGAAGTGATGTTTTTGTTCATTTAAACTTATGTTGATGATTTACAGTGTTTTTCATCTTTAAGATCCTTTTGGCTGATCCAAAGCATACAAAAACATTCAAAAACAAATAGCTGACTGACAAATTGTTTTATTTCTTTTATCAATACTTTTTAGTCCATTTTGTAGCTTAAAGTAATATTTAATTACTGTATTCTTAATACCACTGTAAACAATAATTAAATTAATAATATAAAGTCTCTAAAATAATGTGTGACAATGATACATGAACAGTTTTATAGATAGAAGAAATTAAATTGATGATTTTCACAGACATACTGTATTAAATTTCGTTCAGTGTTGCATATTTATATTAGACTTAATTGCCAAATCGTACATTAATTAAATGTTTTGTAATTCTTAACAAAAACCATTTTCTAATAAACAAGTCATTTTACTATTAAAACTTATTTTTTACTTAATACTTAATTAATACCCATCTAGATGCTTCTTAATTTCCACAACAACACTCTATCTCACTGAGAATTATTTATTATTTTTTATAAATACAGTACAGTAGAGCGTCGTTTATCCAAATCAATTGAGGACTGGGGTTGTTTGGATAATTTATTTTTTGGATAACCGATTATATACAAAAAAATATACAGTAGAGCATTGATTATCCGACCCCCGATTAACCGTCACATCGGTTAATCGATCGTTCTAGTCTGCAAATTTCAAATGTCTGCTAGTGATGTGGCATTACAATATTTGGCTATGTCTTGGCTACTTTAATATTATTTTTGTTAAATTTTTGCGTGTTTTAGCTGGCATCAACGGCTCGACCATTGAAGGGAGGCCAATATTTAAACGAGACTTAATTTTCTAATTATGAGTGGTTGTTTGTTTCGTGAGCAATAAAATAATTATTTATGATACAATAGCGACGATTATAATTTTAAAAAAAATTTGTTAGGCTAAACATCGATGAAAATTCAACATGAAGTTGGTTAATAGCAATATACTAATAAACTAATTACATGGGATATACTAATATTCTAATATACTATACTAATAATGTATTTTTTTCCTTTTTTTTGGTTATCCGATTTTTTCAGTTATCCAACCAACCTGAGTCCCCAATTGAGTCGGATAATCGATGCTCTACTGTATTAACCTATCCCATGTTGAAATTTTTCTCCGTTGCGTGTGTCACTTCACATTGAATTTTCTTCAATGTTAAGCCTCACCTAAATTTTTTAAAATAATAATTGTGGCTATTGTATCATTAAAAATTATTTTTTAATTTTGTACAAACAAAATAAATATATTGAAAAATATAAAAACAAAAGAATTATATTTTGGAAGTTAATCTAGTATCAAAAACGTTTGATTCAGCACGACACAGTCCGACTGGAACACTTTCAGTTAACCAATGTTTCAGTTGATTGGCTTTCAGATAAACGACACTCTACTGTACTTAAACATCTAAAATAAGTAAAATTAATATTAATTTCACTTGGTAGTTTTGAATCTAGCATTACATCAGACATACTAGAAGTTTGTTTTAATAAATTGTTTATTATAATTTCTACATAATTTTTGTAATTTATGAAGATATAATGCTAAACAATTGTAAAAATATAAAATTAAAATTTATTCTATATTAACATTTTATTTAACTATTACTGTAATATACAAGAAAATATCATTACTTTTTAGATTGTTTTAAGAGCTGCCAGTAAACTTCATGAGCAAATGCTACATAGAATTATGAGATCTCCAATTAGTTTTTTTGAAACATCACCCTCAGGAAGAATATTAAACAGATTTTCTAAAGATATTGATGAAAGTAAGTTTTTTGTTTATTATCTGTAAATTGCATATCTTTATCAACTTTAATTTTAATTTAATTAAAATTATGTTATTCAAATTATTATGATATGCAACAAAACAAATAGTTTTTGTTTTGTTACAGTGAAATTTACTTTTATTGTAAAATGACTATTTCAGGTTCCTCTTTAGTTTATAAAAATGACTATTATAGCATTGATAAAATCCAAATTTCTCTAATAATGAAAATGAATTTGAGCATAATAATTCAAGTTATTTCTTATATTTTCTAATTATTGTCATTCCTATCATTTACATATTTTTGAAATTTTAGATATTCCTGATAACTTATAGCATATCAGCAGTAAAATCACAATTATTTCTTATTGAAATAATGACCAAACAAACAGTTTTGTGGCAATTAAATTAGATTAGAAAAGTACACCGTGAGTTTCTGAACACTCTGTACATAAGTACAGTGTGTTCAGAAACTCACTGTGTACTTTTGTGTCTTCTCACTTTGTCCTTTTGCATGCACATGAGGAAATTAACAGTTTCATGGTGGAGTCAACTTTTCATTTGAGGTTACTTGTTTGCCTCAATATGTAAAATGTTAAAAACATCGTTCTGGTGACAGCACAATTAAAAAAATAATAAATACATTTGATAAAAATTTCCAGGACAAATAAAATTTTGTATCTTTAGAAAACATTTACAAAAGAATTCTTCTTTGGACATAACTGTAGAAGTGTCCTTCATCTGTTGTCCCTTTGTTTGCCTCTAGGATTAACAATTTCATTGGCGGAGATGACCTTTCTTTTGAGGTTACTATTCCCTGCCTTGATATGTAAAATGTTAAAAAAAAGTTCCTTCTGGTTAAAGTTCTTGCACACTTTAAAAAATATAATACATTTAATAAAAATATATTTAAAAGACACTTATACAGTTATGCGCAAAGAAGCATCCTTTTGTGAATTTGTTTAAAATATGTTTATGTCCCGGCTAAAGTATTTTTATTAAACATTTTTTTCCTTATGGCTTAAAAACATTGCAAATATGCACATTTAACCTTGTCAAATTAAATTTCTGAAGAATTATATAATGCATTTGTAACCTTTTTACACAGAGGACACGAGACTGTAAATTATGCTAAGATTTAAAATAATGTACTCAAAATCTACCATCACTCTGAAGAAAGACAAAAGGAAATNTGTATATTATTTTTTTTAAAGTGTGCAAGCCACTGTCAGAGGAAACACTTTTAATGTTTTACATATTGAGACGGGCAATAGTAGCCTCAAAAGAAAGGTCATCTTCGCCAATGAAATTGTTAATCCTAAAGGTGTATAAAGGGACAACAGATGAAGGACATTTATACAGTTATGTCCAAAGAAGAATTCTTTTATAAATTTTTTCTGAAGTATGTTTATGTCCTGGATAATATATTTTTATTAAAATTTTGTAAATTTAAAAATTTTATTTGTATGGCAACTTTTATCAGATAAAAGATTTAATTGACCCAAAATTGTTTGTTTGCTCATTATTATTTCAATATATAAATAATCCTTGGGACTATATGATTTATGAAATTATAAAATTATTTCTGTTTGAACAACCAATGTTACCTGCAAAAACAAGGTATATCTATGGGCTTTTCTCTCTTGACCAAGTTAATTGTAAGGAATGTAGAATTTAAAGTTTTCTCTTCCCCTCTTACAATATGTTATCCTATCCTCTACATTAGATTTGTGGATGACATCTTGCTATTTTTGGATGGTTCATTTGAAAAGCTGTTATATTTCATACAGCTTTTGTTTCTTGTATATCCCTGTATATCAGTGTTTTTCAACCTGTGGGTCGCAACCTGCAGGGGGTCGCAGGTAAAAGAAAAAGACAAGTGTTTGTAGGTCCTACACTATAATAAAAAAAAACTACAATCTCAGTGAGAAGGCTGTGCTTGTTTATTTTACAATACAATTGGTTTTTTGATTGATATTTAGGTCTCAACAGAAAGAAACTTAAATACGTAGTTTTTAAAATCACTGACATAGTTTTAATATGGCCCTGGGGGTTGCCAGAATATTTTAACTTGTAAAGGGGTCGCTTATTCAAGAAGGTTGAAAAACACTGCTCTATATCATTCAAAAAAGAGGAGGAAAACATAACAAAATTATTTTTTTAGATTTTTCCATTCTAGAATTTCTAAGGGACTTCTGCTATACAGCAAATCACCAATTAAGTTTATCCATTGGTATCATTCTGCTAAATCCTTTTAGTCATCTGGTGACATAGATGTAGCTGTATTTGTCTTTATATGCAGAGTTTATTTATATTCCTCATCTCAGTTTTTAATATATAAAGAACTGCAATTAGTGACTACAGCAGTAGAGCAGAGCAAGATATTCTCATGCCAAATTTAAGTATATCAACACCTTAGTCCAAAGATTACTTTTCATGCATACAACTTTAAACACTAAAAATGAAGATCTCATATTTATACAAACTTCCCAACAAGACCCATATTTAGGGTCTTTTATGTTATGCATTATTCATATTTTCAAAAAACTTTCCATCAAATCACAGTTATCCTTGTGTATAATTGTTTATAATGACAGGGATAGACTTTTTTTATTTTATTTTAGAGAGATCTGTCATTTACTTGACCCCCTTACAACATTCACAGACAAGTTCAAAAATATTTTATGTAGAGCCACAACCAGAAAGCTCTTAAACTATTTTGAAGAGCACCAGAATGACATCATAATAGATATGCCAAAGAACTCTCCGTGAATGTATTAGAAAGATAATTTTGTGCCTTTTTTGGTTGGAAACATTCCTACTGAAACAATGTATGGATCACAAAACTATTTTTCTCTGGGGGTCTTTATATATAACAATGTTAGAATCCTTGAACTCTCGGAACTAAGGTATCACTTTTTAAAATATTAAAAGCTTAGTTTGTATTTTTAGCAACATCATGTATTGTATATTTTTAAAAAATAGTTGTAAATTTTATACAGTTGCTGTAAGCAACTATTGACCATATAGCTTACATTATGTTGTTTTATGTTTTTAAAATTTGTTCGCATCATTATATTCTATATGCATTTGATTGAAAAGTTTTGAAAATTTTTAAGAAAGTACAATATCCAATTGTGAATTTTTTTTTTCCTTGGCATCTATTTGAATGTTGTTTGTATTCTAAATATGTTTTTCATTCTTTTTGTGATTCCATTGTCTTGATCTTGGCTATACTTTGGAGTCATCATGACTTAGTTATCTTCTTATTGAGCTTTCCTTCTGCACACACATGCACCTTCAAGAGAAAAAGAATGTCCCCATTCTTCCATCCATCCATTTTTTACAACTCCCCTTCAATTTCTACTGGGTTTATTCCCTGTAAGCAATAAACTAGCAAAAAAAAGAAAAAAAGAGAACATTCTAGAAATTTCTACAAATAATAACTATAACTAATCTATATTTACATATAATATATGGCAGATGACTGTCACATAACAATTATATTTAATAAATACAACCTCACCATAAACTGTAATATTCGCAAATCACACCTAAATTCAAAATTTCCAGCAAATAAAAATCAAAAATACACATCGAACGTTTTTGGCTACTAAATTTATTGGCCTTCCTCAGGAAATACAAACTGGAAAAACCATTTTATAAATAGAACTTAGCTGCCTTTTAAATTTTTAAAAGAACGAAAATGGCTGTGACATATCGTGTATGATGTATATTATGAGTCTAGATAGCATTTCCACACTGATGATACAGGAATGACATCCGTGTTGATGCAGTTTCCACTCATGCTCGCCTTGTAGAAGTAGCATACAACCACGGATATGGCCGCACGTTTATCAACAATCTGGCATCCAAATATCTAACTCAGTCATCTAACAAGGTTAACAAAGCAGAAGCAAATCAGGTGATCTTAGACTACAAACCGACACTACATTGCGTATATAGAAGGATCTCAAATAATTTAAATGTACTCCTTGCCTATAGAAGGAAACCCACCATTTTCCGCCTTCTCTCAAACGCGAAGGATGACACTGAAGACACGCTGGCTCCTGGGATTTACCACATCCCCCTATATGACGAGAGGTTTGACAGATTACTAGCTTACATAGGATCCACATACTGCAAGCCAGACTAAAAGATCACAAATATGATGTGCTAAAAGGTAACATCAATACGGCTTTAGCACGATATGCCAGCGATCCGGGGATTTCCCCCTGTTGGGACCAGGCCAAGCTAATACACAAGGTTTTCGACAGGCAAAATATAAAAATTTTAGAAGCAGTAGAGATCTACAAGGCAAGCATGAGTGGAAACTGCATCAACACGGATGTCATTCCTGTATCATCAGCGTGGAAACACTATCTAGACTCATAATATATGTCATACACGATACATCACAGCCATTTTCGTTCTTTTAAAAATTTAAAAGGCAGCTAAGTTCTATTTATAGAATGGTATTTCCAGTTTGTATTTCCTGAGGAAGACCGATAAATTTAGTGGCCGAAAATGTTCAATGTGTATNTGTGTATTTAAAAAAATTTTTTAAAAAGTTAATGGCAAAAATATATTTTAGGTTTGCACTTTTCTGCCCTATGTGATGAGAATGAAATCCGAGTTACTTGCAAGATTTACTTCTATGGAAAGAATTTCTTCTTATTGTTTGGTAATAATATTTTTAATGATATTTTAAACTAGATTTTTTAAAATAATATATTTGAATGATGTTTTTAGGAAATAGCTGAAGAAGCTCCTGAATATAATGTACATTGCACTGCCCCAGGTACTTGGCCTCAAATGGGAAAAATTGAATTTAAAAATGTTTGTCTTCGATACAGAGAAGATCTTCCATTAGTATTAGAAAACATTAATTTTAAAATAGAAGCTGGACAAAAAATAGGAGTTGTAGGTCGGACTGGAGCAGGTATGTGGATATGTATGTATGTAAATGTATATAATATCTATATATTTAATATTTCTCTTGAGGCTCACCAGTGACCAATGGATAAAACCATTGAACACTGGTAATTGGTCCTGGGTTTGTATCTGACCAATAGATGGCTGTGTTGAGTTTTCTGTGTTTTCTTCACTGTCTAACACCTAAATAGGGGCCACTTTTTCCATAGAAAATCTTCCTGGAAGACACCCTTCTTGGTAGATCAAATTTGTGTTGTGTTGCCTTATCTGTCAAGTAAACATCAAATGTTTCTCCATGTGAAGTTTTCAGTTTGTTCAAAAGGTATTTTATATTTTAGGAAAATCATCATTGTTGTCATCTTTATTGAGACTAGTTGAATTAAATTCTGGAAGTATACATATTGATGGTATAGATATAAAAAAATTAGGATTGAAACAGTTACGCTCCTCTTTAGCAGTCATACCTCAAGATCCAGTATTATTTGAAGGAACTGTCAGGTAACTTTAAAATCTAATATTAACTCTATTTTATATTTTAAAATAGTTTATAAGTTTGGAATGTTTCTTTTAATTTAAAATTCAGTAAATGTTATTTTATTTGTATATTACATGTGTGTGTGATCACAATTTGTCTGAAGTATTTTTAACAAGTTAATTAATTAATTTTTATTTTTTTCTGTAGTGGATGTTCATATTCCATTCTTGTTGGAATTAGTAATTCAGAGCCTGTTGTTCATTTTCTTACAATTTGTTATATCAGTGGCAATCTATCACATATTTATAATTGCACTATTGCTGGCTATTTCTTTATTTATAATTTTGGACTGGTGGTTAAATACTGGAGTGCAGGAATTTAAACGTCTTGATAATATTTTACGATCGACTGTTATTGTTCATTTGACCACTACTCTCCAAGGGCTCTCTATAATTAGATCATATAACTGTGAATCGTGGTTTATAGAAAGGTAAAAGATTTTCTTTTTATATAATTTGGTAAAACTAATCTCTTTTTTGTATGTTTACAAGGTGATATTGAAATATACAAATTAATATTTTGACAGGTTTTATTCTTTTATAAATCAGCATTCTTTGTCTCACTTAATATTTCATTTGGCCAATCGATGGTTTACATTTCGAATGGAAATTGTTGGAATTGCTGTTATGGGTGCTGCAGCATTAACTGTAGTCCTTATGAAAGATCATACATCTGCAGGATCTGCAGGTTTAGTTCTTGCTGCACTTTTTCAGGTAACTTTTATTTTAATAATATAAAATTTTTTAATATACTGCATGTCATATTGTACAGATGTTCTAATGCACTTCAAACTATCTCTCAAAGTTTAATTTTTAAAAACTTTTGGATTTTCATCTTTTAGTATTGACAGTTACTTTAATTTTTGATACTATATTAGCTATAAAATATCAAAATTCATTTAAAATCGATTCTTCTAAAACATTTTATAATTGCGTGTTTCTATATGAAACTATTTTAAGTATTAAAGTTCAGACAGTTTAAAAAAAGAAATTTATAAAATTAACATATGTGGTGATTCTTGCTTTTGAATAATTCATCAAAAGTTATCCATTATATTTGATGTAATTAAATTTATAATTTGGTTTACATATAAAATTCACAGATCCAAGTTTGCTATGGATCATGATTTTTCAGATTTTTAAAAATTTAAATATTTAATTATTAAAGTAATAAACAAGTGTAGTGTATAGTNTATCTTTTACTCAATTGGAGATTGCACCAATAAATATGTCTAGGGTTAAAGTGTAAATGTATAAACTTGAAGTTATTCCATTTTATAATATTGTTCATATTAATCTGTGTGATATTATCAGGTATGTAATATAAGCAGTATTATGAAAATAATAAAATGGATTTTTGGAAAAATAATGTATTTATTTATTCATTTATTTTTTATAAATGCATAAACTGTACACACACACACATATATATATATATATATAAACAACAACTCAATAAACCTCATCTGACTTTAATACATAATCTGGTAGTGCTTGTATAGAAAGAAAAGATATCTCAACATGTACAAAATGCTTTCAGAATAATAACAACAATAAAAACTAATTAAGCTGTATGTTATAATTTTTTACAAAGTTTTTAAAAATATTTAGAAACCTAAAATATAGGATGCTTTCAACATCATAAATTAATCTTACTTTTTTGTAAATAAAATGATGAAACAAGTTAAGAATAAATGTGCATAAAGATGAGACATAATATTGTTAGGATGAAAATAGAAAATAGGAAGATAATTCTGACATTACCAAGAGATAAGAAATATTGAGAAATAATCTGTCAAAGTAAAAAGTATGATCATACATAAAAGCAAAACATAGTTGAGAATGAATGATTTCAGAGCTGTGTTAACAGATAAAATAGTAAGCAGATAAAAATTATTTTTTGTTTAACAAAGAACTGCTATAAAATAGTTTTGAGTAATGTGATGTAGATATAAGAAACAAGGATTATCAGTAATTTTACACTGTGTCAATAATGCTTATTGAATTTATGAATCACAGTAGATGTTTATTAAACTAAGATTTTGAACTTAAGTCTACAACTTTTACAATTTAATTTTGTAGAATAATTTTTCTTATTTAAGGGAAAAATTTGCAAACTATTACTAAATTCAGTTTGTTTTTTCAGATATAACTTGGATCCTTTTTCAGAACATACAGACAATCAATTATGGGTAGCGTTGGACAGAGCACATCTTAAGTATAAAGTATAAAAATAAATTCATATCTGTCTCTAGCAGTTTGACAGTCTAAACATCAATCATAATTTTATATATTTATACCTAGATCAGTCAAGAAGAAAAACAGTTGGAAGCTACAGTGGAGAAAAATGGTGAAAACTTCTCAATAGGTGAAAGACAGCTTCTATGTTTAGCCAGAGCTCTTTTAAGGAAGAATAAAGTATGTTTTGTTTTTCTTATAATTTTAAAAAGATATGAAATGAATTTGTAATATCAATAAAAGCTCATTTTTATTTTGAAAGATTTTAATGCTGGATGAAGCCACTGCATCAGTGGATATAGAGACAGATCATTTGATTCAGGCAACAATCAAAGAAATGTTTCAAGCATGTACAGTTATAACTATTGCACACAGACTTAATACTATTTGGTCTAGTGATAAAGTAATTGTTATGGATTCAGGAAAAGTAAGGCTTTCAAATATGATTATTTACTGTATTATAGAATGCATTAAATTAAATTTAAAAATTTTTTATAGGTTATGGAATTTGATACTCCAACAAATCTTTTATCTCAGGAAGGATCAATATTTCGTTCCATGATAAATGCAATGAGAAAATCAAATGAATAAAGATTATGTAAATTATTCTGCCATTAACTATAACAGTATTATAATATTTCTCTATCTTTATAGATTATTAGTAGTATGTTTTTTAGATTTTTATTTTAATATTAATATGTTATGAACATTGTGATTGCTCATATAAATATCTAGTTCAACTATAAAGAGGTAATGGTTATATATGAAAATTTACTTTTTTGGTGCTGAAGTTTTGCAAATATATTACCACCATTTATTTATTATAGACATAATTCTGTGATAATCATTTATGTGATAAAATCTTAACAGTTAGTGCAATCCTTAAAAATTTCCATATTGTTTATAAAATAATAAGAAGAAAGTTGTTTGTGTGTGTGTATGCATATGTATATACATATATTTTTTATATCCAACTTTTTTTTTTAAATCTTTTAAAGTTCTAAAAGATTATTTATTGTAGATTATTTTCATACATCTGATATTAATTTTTGGTAATAAAATTGATTTATTTGTTAATAAGAGAACAGAATATAAGATGTGAAACAGAAAGATTAGCAACATTTGAATTATATTCATGTCCATTTTCAATGTTGAATTGTTAAAATGTTTACTTTATTTAGTGCCTTGATAGATCATTTCTGAGATCTCAAATCATAAGTTATTATTAACTTTTATCTTTTAAAATCTTGATGTAATAGTTCATATTCCAGTGTAAATAATCAGATGTGCATCTATTATACAAAATGTCCAATTATTCTGTTTTCAGAAGCTAAACCAATATGTTCTATGTCTAAAATGCTTGAAAAAACAATTATTTTTCTATACTCATACAAAATGTTTTAAAACTAGTTATATTATCATATACAACCTTTCCGCATATAGAAGTAAAATTATAATATCAATCAAAATAGTTAAAAGAAATAATATTTGAGAATATTTATAACTTAATGAGCAATTTTTACTAGGGAATTATTATTCATTACTGATTTGAAACCTTTTATTCTCATTCTTTCAATAAATATATGTTAATTCATTATTTACTAAATAATATTGAATGTTTATATTCTTGAAGCATGCAGTAGAAAAGCATTTTGTAAGTTTTTTTCATTCTTTTTTTTACTGTTTTAGTTCATTTATTCAATAGAAAACAGCACTTATTCTTTCTGTTACACAATCCTGTGATATTACTGAATTTTTAAGTGAAAAGTGAATCATTAATAGTTATATAACAAACTTATTATTTGTTGCTTACAGGAAAACCATTCAGAAATTTTGTAGGTATTTCTGTTTTGTATACAAATAAACTGATATTTTGGATTAATATAAAATTATATAATAAAAATTCTTTGACATGATGCTGATAACAAATTTCAATGTCTATTACAGCTAGTGTAAGTCATTTTGGAAAATGAAGTTACAACAAAATTTATCACAGTATTAATAATAATGTTGAAAATTTGATAACAGCTGAAATATTTTTTTGCATTTGTCAATTTTTAGAGTCTATTTCACATAAAAAAATCATTATAATAGTCTCATAATGACATTTAAAATCTTTGTATCAGTTATGATAAAAATCTATTAAATTTAAAACATAATTTATCAAAATTTTGCAATTCGTAAAGAATTATTTCATATAATAAATATAATTATAAATTCATTCTCTTTAAATAAAAATGATGTAAAATATCTATGGGACATTGAAATCAAAGACTGCCAGCAAATTGAATAACTATTTTTTAATAAATGCAAATTCTATATATTTTTATACTAAGTAGGTTACTTGAACCTATTCAATATAAAAATTTGTCCTTATTTGCAATGAGAGAATATTTTATTTGCTTACAAATTACTCAAAGAATTTAACCTTATATACATATAGATCATAAATTGTATATTTTGTCATAGATTAAAATATATAAATATGGATGAAAAATAATAGCATATGGAACAGAATTCAATTTTTTTTCCTGTATAAATTTAAGAATATTAATTTAAAATATTAATATTTTAATTTTTTCTTAAATTTATAATTAACTAGCAGATAAGCCTGGCGTTGCTTGGGCAAAAAGTAACGATAGCAAAGATTAAGATTATTACATTACAGCCAATCTTATCCGTTTTCACAGAATCCAAGAATTAGGTTCCCATTTCCATACTAATTAGAAAATTTTTAGATGGGTCTAAAATTATGTTCGATTTAACGCAAAAAACCACATCTGTGCCTGTAAATCTTGCACATTTCTTTCTCTTAACACTTCCATTGTTGAAGCCTTAATCCTGTCCCTTTCCCCGCAGGAGGATTTCAAAAAGTCTCTTGTTAGTGTGCGTTCTCGTGACGTACCCTAACTGTGTACCAAATTTCAAGTTTCAACTCCTAACTGTGATGAAATGCTCGTATACATGCACACTATCTATCGTAGGATAAATGTACTATGCCAGAAACCTTCACGGGAGTGTATTAAACAACTTCCCAAAGTTTCATGGCAATCGGATAAATGGTGTAGTAATGCATGAAGGACAGACAGACATACATTCATTTATATATATTTAATTTCTAGTAATTCAAATATTTCATTCATTTTATTGATAAGATTAAACTTGATACAGTGATGTGATTTATAAGAATTAATTTTTGTGTATGATTCCATAGAATCAAAATTTTTATTTTGATTATATGGACTTTGTTGATGATAGTTTTATATCATTAATTAAATATCAAATATAGCTAAGATTAATGTTAAGTATAGTATTTTTATCAAATATTAATTAATATTTAATTTTTGTTATTGAATATCAGTATTACTCAACATTATCATCATAATTTTTTTTTGTAGTACAGTATTGATGCATTGATCAATCAATTTTTTATTTGGTTGTGCATTTCTTATATTAAACATTGTTTGACTTGAAAATAAGCAATTGGTGTGCAGCAGTAAGTAGATACAATTAAGATAAATAGTCCATTAATTTTATTTCCATGATACAGAAAAATTTGAGAATTAATAAAACTTTCGTTGTATCATTAATTAACAATAATAAAATAAATCATAAAACCAAACAAAATTTACTTTAAAAATTCTTTGAGAGTTTTTAGTGGAAAAAATTTAATATTTCAATTAAAACTGACAAAAAGTTTTCATTTTAAGATGATGTGTTTATTCTACGTTTAAATAATAAGTCAGTATTATAAAAAACTGGACCTTTTAAATATATTAAAACGAATTACAAAATCATTATCAGATGAAATAAAACTGCCATTAACACAAATTAAAACAATTTATTGCAACAGTGTAACTTACCTATTTGTTAAAAGTTTTTATATGTTTTATTAGTATTACTTTGTGAATAAAATGAATTTAGCATTTTCAAATAATAATAATCCCTTGTCTTGCTCATTATGTGTTAATTGCAATCATAACAATGAAATCTTATCATATTACTATTTTTATATATTAAAAAAAAAATTATACAACAAAATTCTAATTGTCAAAAGACAACTTTTTCAGATATAGAACATTTTGGTTTAAAACATTTTTATAAATTCTTCTACCTAAAAGAAAGAGTAAATACTTGTTTTTATCTGTCAAATTGTGGCAAAATTTTTTTAATCACTGCTAAAACTGCCGCAAACTGCGCCTTCCATCGTTAGTTTAAAAAATTTCCATCCGAGCCAAACAGTTGGAAAGTTGTTATATCCGATAATATTGTTAAAAATTGTTTCCCCCCGTATAAATTTGATGAAAATATTTAAATTTTAAAAGAATCAAAGGTATGTTTTTTGAACAAATTTTTAAGTTAAGATGAATGCTTTGTGAAAATGTCTTTGTTAGTGCTTGAAAGACAATCACATTGGCATAAAAATCGAGCAAAAGATATGCAACAGAATTTTGTAATCAAAATGAATTGAAAGTTATGCCTGCCATTTATTAAATGCTTATTAGCAATAATTCTATATGATTGTTTTAATTGTTCTTTCTAGAAATAATATCAGAACATCAAATATATTTGTAATTTTATTATTTAATGAAATGTATACATATAGTATTAATAAAATCTTTTTAATTCTTCCAATTCTGTAAGTATATATTTTCTTTTTCAATCTATTTCATATAATATTTAATAGATAAGTAAAAAAGTCAGAATAATACACGATATCATTGCACAAGTGATATTTCATTTCTACACATCTGAAGATTTTCCACTTGTGTAAAGAAAATCTTTGGAAGTCTTTCTATGTTGTATTAAAATAAATATAACTTAAGAAGGTGCAATTAATTTATATTTTGTATAACATTTTGATTCTATAAAGTTTTTTTTTTATAATTAACTAGTTTTTTTTAGGGCTAACTTTGTGCGTTACTGTTTTAAAGATTGACAGCTGACTTGGACGTAGTGCTGAATAATGGGTACATGGATATATAGTAACCACTTGGCAATCAGGTATTAATTGAGGTGGAAATGTTAGCAAAGCCTCTTCAGAATTGTGTTCATTCTCAAAATCTGTTTGTTTGATTTTTGATTAAACTGCCATTTGCCATTAATTGCAATGAGGAATCCAAAAATGTAACAAGGGTCCATTTAAATGTAAAACGTAGGAGTCCATGATTTCATTTTCCAGAGGTATAGTGATGCACTCAAAATTTAATCTTGGGGAAGCAGAGTTGAACAGATAAGTTGTTGTTTGAATTCACATTAAAAATTTTTTCATGTGACTGCTAATTGATACAATATAAAATTCAATTTTTATTATGTATCTTCTATTTATATTAATTAAGAAAAATGTTTGGAAAATTTATTAGTGTTGTTTTCCTTTCAATTTGGGAGGGTGCCAGGGTCTCTTGGTCCCCCACTGCAAAAGTATTAAAATGACAATGTCCATGCTCACTGATGAGACTGAGTGCACCTAACAGAATTTAGGCCTAGGGGTCAAAAATAAAATCAGCATTGTATGTGCCTAACAGAAAATAGGTATGAAAACAAAGCAATCACCATCGATTGCTTTGTTCTTGGATCGCATCTTCGTGTCAGCAAGTACAAGGATCGTGTCTCCTATGGCCAGCAAGTGCAAAGTTCACCTGTCTGAGTCCATCAGGTACAATGATCACCTCTTCTATGTCTAAATGGTGCAGGGATGACTTCTTTCTTTCCAGCTCCACTTCAATTCTATTGCAATACAACAGAGTTGTGCAATGTCCTAGTTATATATCCAATCCAATTAAGCTATAAATTTTTAATTATTTATATAATTATTTTACATACAATACAGTAAATTGTAAATGAGCACATTTGTTAAAGAATGATCAGTAGGTAAGTAGCTAAATTACAATCATTATATTGTTATTTTTTAATTAAATGTGCTTTCTAATTTTCAATCAAAAAAATAATGGATGGACCATCAAAAATTCGACAATTTACAAAATGATGTCGAATGCACAGATTCATTTATTTATAACTAAAAATAATCTCGAAATTTCATCAAAAAAATGCATTTGTGACAATACCTAAATGAAATTCTTACGCAAGAAACAAAAATTGTACAATTAATTGTGTTAATTGTACAATTATCATTATTATCATGTCAGCGAAGCGGCAATAAAATATTTACTGCCATTTTGCACAATGTACCTCTGCAAGAGCGGATTTTTGGCCATGACAAACATGAAAACTAAACATCGTAACCAACTTCAACTCGAAGATGACTCGAGACTAAAGCTGATCAAAAAGAAACCAGATTTTGCAAAGTTGTGCAAAGAATATTGTGCACATTTGTAACATTAAAATTAAATAACTTTATGTTACTTTCATTATTATTAGAATTGTATTTTAAAGGTAATAAATGTAAAAAAAAAACTTATTCTATTTATCACTAGCTGTCTACCCACAGCTTCGCCCGCATTATATGGAATTTTCTCAGGGGAGTAAGATATTTTCTCACAGTAAAATGTAGCCCATGTTCATCTCCAACATGTAAGCTATTTCTGTGCCAAATTTTATTAAAATCTGTTCATTGGTTTAGACATAATTACCTTCGAATTTATAATATTAGTATGGCTTAATATGAATTTCTGCTATAAGGGGTACGCGAGTTTGAGCTCTTTCTTAAAGTGGTACGCAGGAATAACTAATTAGGAACCACTGGTCTAGATCATCAAGCGTCTGCTCAAAAATTTAATTTTACCTGGATTTATATAGAAAAACGCGAAAAAAATTTCGTAATTTTTTATTAGA